AAGGTAGCCAAAAAGTACGGCATAGGCATACCAAAGATACGCAGGATAGAGCGAGAGAATGGTTTGGAGGTAGCGATTCCCGAGAAACCACCTACTACGGATTTGCAGAAACATTTCCTAGAAGTGCAGGATTCCTTTGCTATAGTCCTGGACGATCTCCAAAAAGCTAGAGAAGAACTGCGGGACGCAAAGGATGAATTGCTAGCCAGAATGGACCAAAAAGATGTGGAAATAGATCCCGAGTTGGAAAATGCGGTAGAGGACTTGTCCGACGAAGTAGAAGGAGTGGACAAAAAGATAGACTGGCAAATAGCTGGCAATGTGCTATTTGCGCTAGTGGGCGTGGCTGCTGTCGTTTGGGCGCGCATGCAACCACCTAAAGTTGTCTACTACAGACATCCAGCGGAGGATACGAAACCGCAGAGAAAGTCTAGGATTCCGGAGATGGAGTAGAGGCGAACACCCTTTGCAGGTCTAGGATTCCGGAGTAGAGACGTGCACCAGTCGGTCTTTCTTCTTTGCCTTGGTAGTCTTTTCCCTGCCTATTTTGCAGTATAGCGGCGGTGGAGACGTCCAGTCTATTTTCTGCTCCTCCAGAAAGTGTCCCCAGACCGGAGTGGTTGCATGTTCTACCATGCAGCCCTCCAAAACGCACTCCGAGCATTTTTCGGAAAGGAACAGGATCGTCCTTTCTTTTTTTCTGTAGGTGGTTTTGGCGTATCTCCAGCATTGGTATTCGCCTGGATGCATATGTAGCGCCTGCACGCATTCTTTGTTGGGTGGCGCCGGCACTTCCAGTAGTCTTTCTGGATTTTTGGGAGGGTCTATTTTCCTAGCCAACTCGTAGTACGTATCCAAACCGGGTCCTTCCGGCACGAATGCAGTTGCTACATTGTTTTTCCACTCCACCAATATTTCTTCCCCGGGAATAGCTATGCGCATGTTGCCGTCTGCTTCGAACTTCCCAGCCGCAAATGCGTCCAGTAGAGCTTCTATAGCCCACGCAACGCAGGTCTCTTTGCCCCTGCGCAATACTACGCGGTGCCCTCTTGCCAACCAGTTGGCATCCAAGTCTCTGGGGATCGCATATCCTAGTATCTTGTAGTCTCCTGCAGGTATTTGCTCCATCCTATGCACTTTGGCCCTAGGCGYCTCTGGGCCAAACGGGCTTTCCTCTCCAAAGAACAATCTACGCAGATTGTCTGTTCTTCTGGAAATTCTATCCAATAGTTTCCTATACTTTTCCAACTCTTTTTCTATTTTCTTCCTGTCCTCTTCTTTTTGCCGCAGGATGGACTGCCTTTGCTCCGACAGTTCTGCGTGGTATCTTGTTGTGGCTTCGACCCACTCGTCGCCTTCCAAATCGTCCCGTATGTCTTCCAATCTTTGCTGGCGTTTTCTTTTGGATAGAAAGGATATTCTGCGGTCCGTAGGCACTTCTAGTATTCCAAATAGACTCTTTTCTATGCCTATCTTTTGTGCCTTCTTCGTACGCCAAACCCACTCCACGTGCTCCGTGGTTGGGAGAAAGTCTGCAATCGTAGGCGGATCTTTGTGCACGCGTGTGGGTTTGTTAGACTCAGCCAGTATGGTAGGCGAGTCTTTCGTGTAGCATCGAAGTGGARCTATGTCCACAGGGTCCAATCCTCGCACGTCTATGCGGAATATGGGGCATTTGCGCAGGCCAAACTCTGCTATGGTCCAAAGTACGCACTGTTCCCATTTTTCGTTGCCTCGCACGCGTATGCCGGCTATCCTACCTGTTTCTGCGTGGCAGTACCAAGCTAGGAAGATTTCTTTTGTCTCCTCGCAGCAGATACACAAACATCTGTCCAAGTGTTCCGCAAGAGCCAACCACATGTTTTTGGGTGGTTGTACTACGAATATGTCCTGCAAAGGTTCTATAGTCTCCGCGATGGCATTGGTGTTTTCTTTGGAGAAATCCCTGCCGTAGATGGATATTTCCACTCTGCTGCATCCTCTTTTCTGCACGTCTGGGTGCAGAAATGTCCTACGCAGGTGGTCGTTTGGACAATCCACGTACTCTGCCAACTTTGCTCCTACTGGATTCTGCACTTCCCCGGCTTCGAAGTTGGATACTATTTTGTTGTATATTTTCGTACGTTTCCCATTTTCCATCCAAGTACAAACGTGGCTGCCTACTTGGTGCGTGTTGTCCAAAATAGTACCTTTGCGTCCACCCAGTTCTCCTTGGTGTTCGTAGCCCATCTGCAACAATCTGCGCACCAAAGCTTTTCTATCCAAGGTACCAGAGAAATCTTGCGTGTAGTCCACGGAGTAGATACCATATCCGTGCGCATCTAGCAAAGTAGCAAACTTGGGTATCTTTTCCTCCACGGTTTCTATGGACAATTCCGAGGTGTCCACTTTAGCTACRAATACCGCTGCRGGTTCTCCATGCAARCTGGACCACTTGGCTGCCATRTGGGAGACGCGATCTACTATTTTTCCTTGCCTGCAGCTGTGTACTATTTGGACATGTAGGAACGTACCAAAGGCTTCCTGTGCCGCAGTGGATATTTTGGAGACCAGCGTTTTTGCGTTTCTGCATATGCGTCCATACATGTCGTTCTCTGCGACAAATCCATAGACAAACRCATCGTCTACGAACGGTGGTAGCCCGGATAGCGGCTGCAGGCTGGTAGTACCTTCGTTTCCGCGCAAATAGTCGCACTTGGATATGTCGGGCAGTAGATTCCCGTCGTACGCGTTGTCCAACAGCAAATGTGCCAGCACCCTATTCTTCGCACGTATACCCATCTCTTGCAATGTTGCCGAAATACTCTTTTGCTCTTCCATGTATATATAGGGTGTCGAAGGTTTTTGGCTACTAGTACTAGGAAACGAATCGTCCCTCTCTTCCTGCGTAGTACAAACTTTCCGAGAGCGGCGTTTCGCAGCCCTTGCAAGGTAGCGGCCTGCGTAGTACAAGGGACTCGTTTTGGGGTCCATACGAAAAGAAAAGGTGTTTCGCACCACGGACATTCCTGGTGCTTGCTACCAAAACAGTGGACACAAAAAAAAACTTTTCCTACGCAAAGTGTGTCTACCAGGAAAGCCCGCGTGGGAATAGAAAAGGTAGCCGAAAATGGTTGCCGAAACAATGGGCAAAAATATGCTCTTATAAATTATCCTTTCTGCTCTTTCCTCGCTCATCGTCTCATCTGTATCTCCCTCCATAAACGTTGTGAAGGCAAAGTCGGCGTCTAAGCGGTCCAGCACCTGAGTTCGCAGTCGGCGCACAGTCTTGTTACTAATGCTTTTGATGGTGTCCATCTATATCTAAGGAATATTTTATCCTCCGTTTGCGACACAAATATTTTAACCTTCGCAAACATAGCAGCAGTAAGAAAATCTTCGCGCAACATATAACGGGACACGGGTAATTCCCGCGGGGGACGCTAGTGCGTAAACACGGGTAATTCCCGGGCGATTCCGAATGGTGACCGCGAGTCCCCTTACTGCTGCTGTCGCTGATGACTAAACATCCATCATCCCTCCTTTCCATGTGGGACGCGTTTTGTAAAACTATCGGCGTCAATCTGGTATACACTAACATATGTTGTTTGATGTATAGATAAACAGACAGTTTTACTATTTGACTTTTAGTTTCGGAGATTTTTGAGGACAAAATCCAGGGTTTCACTTCCAGAGGGGGTGGGTACTGGATTGAGCCCCACTCCTCCCCTCTAAATCGGGTCCCGTATAAAGATTACAAATTTTTCATCATCATCTTCCACAATTGGTATCAATGTATGAAAAACAATTTTCAGAAAAAAGTCTTTTTGAATCTCAATTTTTGAACCCCAATTTAATACCGATTTGAAATATGGAAAGAAAAGAAAAAGAAAGGACGAACCGATGTCGTTTTCGAGATATTCACGATGAACACAAGTGTATCTACGAGTTTTTGAATAAAAAAAAGCAAAAACCATCCTTCTACGGAAAAATTCAAACTTTTAACCATGGATCTTAAGCTTTGGACGTTTTTTTTTYCATGAAACCTAAAGTATACACCGTTTTACAATATGAATCAAGAGATTTGGAAAATAATTAGTCTCGGATCCTCTTCACGTGTCTGGTAGGGTGGGGAGGGAAGTAGCTTTATTACCCTCACGCATGCGTATTAATCACCACAAGCCTCATGAATAAAAATGGCTGTCGACGGAAGTGTCTTGTAAAATATACTATGAACCACGACCTTGAAATAACAGTTGAATGACACGATAACTAGACTGACATGAAAACTAGCTTATTGGAGTATGTGCTTGGCCTTACAGGAGAGAAATCGACCGTAAAATACCTGAGAAAACGTCAATAATGGCCGCCGAGGTAATGCAAACCCGTTATGAATCACATGGGCTTTTGCTCGCTTCAATAACATTGATCGCGGTATATCGCCGTTTTTGCTAAATATAATGCCAAAGTGTTGCCATATATTGATCATGTGATTATTATTCGACATCTTGTTGATCTAGAAAGCTTAGAATTTGGCGATCGTTGAAAGAAACCTTAGATCGATTGAGGGTGTTTCGTTGAATTTGTTTTTTTGCGACCAGCGCCAATCAATTATTCCCCATCGATAATTCTTTATCTATGGGCGTGCTTTTGATCTTTCCTGGCTTCAGCACTAATCACTCGTCCTATATCCATTCTTTTCTCTATAATTCAAGTTATGGATTAATTATTTCATTCATTCGCCAATCAACTTCAAATGATCAGCTGAGAGATCGCCATACCATCACACGCCAAACATGATATTTTTTCATTCATTCTCTGTATAAATTCAAATTAAGCATTTTGTTTATCTTCTGCTTATTTTACCGTGTTAAATTTAGTAATGTTTTATAAATCTGCGACAAGGTTCGTGTCTTAGCATGTCCCTAGAATTAGCGCTGTATTTTGTTAGCATTCAAAATTCCTATAATTTGAACACTACACACATCTTTATGTTCGTGTCTTTGTAATATTCATCCTTTTATTAATTATATAAGCTTAAATTTATTTCTAGAATGACTCCTAATCACGCTGTCACGGAATCATTATACTATATTTTCTGAGCTATTAAGTCATTATCTATTATTTAGAATTTTAACGTTTTTTTATTCAAAAGGTGATCAGCTCTGGATCAGCCTACTTATATTATTTTTAAATCTGGAAAAAATCTCCAAGTTTTATCTTGACTTTTGCTTACACGATTTATGCTTGTCAACAGGTATTATGGATCGAATTATCTTTATATTTATTGTGCCATCTTAAAATTTCTATTACTGAGGAAAAAAATCAGTTCTAAAATGTTGATGAAAWAAATTTTTGAAGGGAAGAAAGATCCACCATTTTTGTTATTGTAGTTAATATTTATTGAGAGAAATTCAATGCAAAACTTAGGGAAATGGAATATAAGTTTATTAAAACTAAATGGCTGTCAAACTTTTTATTTCTTGTAATAGCTCTTGAATCAATAATTGAAGATGACAATTTTTTTCTACACTGTATACAATAATATTGTATTATGATGACATTTTGAAGAGCATTTGGTCAYCACTGGTATTTCCGATGCCTAAGAGACCAGATGTTACTGTCTGTCTTATTTCATGCAATTTTTTCACTGCATTTATAAATAAATGGGTCATTTGTCTTCTATTAACCAAGTTATTTTTCAGTAATAATAATATTTATTATTACTGCCTTTTTTAATTTTTTTTTAAAAGAATTTATAATATCCTCAAAGATTTTGGGGAATAAAAATATATGCATGCATGTGGCTCATTCAGGGTCAGCCTCATTTCAGTATCAAATATTATACAATTATTGGATGAGGTTGAGCGTGATATCATAAATTATCAAGGCCAAGGCAGTGATAAAATGGCCCAGGTCTTGATAGTTTACAATATCATGTAAAAACCGAGTTCAATAATTGTTTTATTTAAATTTGTCAACTAAGAGTAAAGATTTGTACAATATTCACAAATRCCGTGTAAAGTAAAACATGCACAACTTCAACAATACAAACACTTTGAAATTTCATGTACCTGTATGTAATATATACAATATGAGTGGCTGTGTTGTATCAGATATACATGACCACAAGCCGAAGACGAGTGATTGTATATCTGRTACAACACGGACACTCATATTGTATATTACTTATAAAATGTCTAGGTGTATACATTCATGTTCTACTATAATTTTAAAGATAAAATTGAATTTGGCTAAGAAAAATGGAGTTAAAGTTTATGCAAATCAGGACGATTTTGTATCAGATATACAACCTCCTCCAATGGTTTCTATTGTGTTTTCCTCATTAATTATTCATAAGTTTTATAATGATAATTAATTATGCCCTTTTAACTTTTAAACTTACTTTGTAGAATTTCAAYCAGCTAAGTTTGAAATAGCCATTCTTAGGTTGAGGGAAAAACTGGGTTGTCTTTGTATTCTAGTACATTGTGGGACTGTTTTAGGCGACATATTTCCAAAATRGCATCTATTTTCCCCCTAAAACAGCCCAACAAACTCAACCCAGATTTTTCCTCWACTTCAAAACTGCTAATATCTAGGCTAGTCAGAAATTATGTTATTTATTCCACTTTTCTTTTACCCCAAAGCAGTTAGAAGAAGATGATTGGAACTGGCGGACGCTGTGCCAGGATTTCCACTTCACTTCCCATGTTCCATCACTAGAGAAAATAGAACAAGAACATTATGGGGGAGATACTAAGAAATTTATTCAAGAATACTTGGAACCAGTTTTTTGTTTGTTGAAGGATATCAAGCAATCAGCAGAGGTGAGCTTGAATAAATAATTGATACAAGGCTCGTAATTTACCTATTATGCATGTTCTTATATGATTTCCAAGCCCATCCCACACGACTTACTGTCTCATCTAACATGTACTACTTTTTCATGGGATTCTACCAGCTCACTAGATACACCRTGCTGACAAGGCCCAATACAGGCCGAAAAAGCTGTCCACGGTTTCTACCTAGTTGAGCTGGCTCATTTTTTACGCGACTTGAAGTTGTGAAAGGCCAATTGGCCCTCTTCTTCAGTCATTTCATACAAGGCTCGTAATTTACCTATTACACATGTTCTTAAATAATTGATAGATTTTTAATGGATAAATGAGTTTATAAATAAATTGTACTTATTTTACAAGGGTAATTTTAAATGACCTGTAGCTATCTAGCCTGTGGCCCTCATATTCTATGATTGAATTGGAATTTAGAAGTTGATGTCTTGTGGACAGAGGAAAATGGTAGAACCATGAGAAAGCACTCAAAGAGAACCAATAAGCTACTCACATACGATGGAGAGTCTAAAGAATTAACCCTTGACTGGAGTGGTTGCAAGAAAGTGCATTAGTGCAGTTTTCGTATGACTGTGAAAAAATTCACAGCACAAACACGGCCATGACACGGCAAGGGATATGCCAGACCAATCACATTGCTCAAGAATTTACTCTCCATCCAATCAAATACACGGAACACGGCATAAACATGGCACGGACATGGTCACGCCAAGGTCACTGCAATGCCAGACCAATCACATTRTGCGTGAAAAAAATCAGCCAATTAAAATTCTAGAAAGCATCACGGTCACAGCACCTCATGCTTATGGCACTGAGCTATTCACAGTCATACGAAAACTGCTCTAGTAGCACACACCACTAATGTTTCCCTTGATGACTAGATCTAGATCTGAACAAATCCCTTGGCAACTTGAATCAGTCAAAGTAGAGTGTCATCCTCCATGTGAGAGTCATGTGGATGATCACAGTCTTCAATAAGATTATGGATAGTACGTATGTATAGTAGTTGCACTCACCTCTGAGGTCTGGGGCTTGAATCCTTGACTAGGCACCACATAAGTAGGATATAATATTTGAGGCGTTTTCTCCCATTTCTCTAGTTTTCTTCCCTCTGCAAAATCCACTAAATTCGAATTTGATCAGCCCAGAGGTTCTTTCAGGGTTTGATCTATGAGTTAGCCATGCCCTGACTTAGATCAAGCCAAAGTTTGTTTCAGGGTTTGATCTGTGAGTTAGCCGTGCCCTGAATTTGATCAGCCCAGAGGTTGTTTCAGGGTTTGATCTGTGAGTTAGCCATGCCCTGACCTAGATCGGCCCAGAGGTTGTTTCAGGGTTTGATCTGTGAGTTAGCCATGCCCTGACCTAGATCGGCCCAGAGGTTGTTTCAGGGTTTTATCTATGAGTTAGCAATGCCCTGACTTAGATCAAACCAGAGGTTGTTTCAGGGTTTGATCTATGAGTTAGCAATGCCCTGACTTAGATCAGCCCAGAGGTCGTTTCAGGGTTTGATCTATGAGTTAGCAATGCCCTGACTTAGATCAGCCCAGAGGTCGTTTCAGGGTTTGATCTGTGAGTTAGCCATGCCCTGACTTAGATCAGCCCAGAGGTTGTTTCGGGGTTTGATCTGTGAGTTAGCAATGCCTTGCCTTACAGTAGATCAGCTGAGAGGTTGTTTCAGGGTTCAAAAAAGTTCAAAGATTGAGGATAGGTTGGTGGGTGGGTGGATGATTGATTGATTGATTGATTGATTGGTAAATTAATAGAAGGAGAAAAGAAAGGATATTTACATATACATGTACAGTATGGATTGTGAATAAAAGAGATTGAAAAAAATGAATGAAAATATTAAGATTTTCAATCCAATCTTTACTTTCAAGGAGTATTTCAGCAGTGGAAAAGATGGCCCGGAAGATGCATGGACAYCATACTACGAAAGCTTTGTTCAATCTGTCATTCAGGTCAATAAACTTACTTCACCACTTCACAAGGGGGATTTCTACATACATCTGAGTTCCATTGTTCCTGGACAGATGATTCTGAAATATCATGACTCTGGAAACGTACAATCTTTGCCTCTCGGCAAGGATGATTTRTGGAAAATTTGGAATAACACATGGACAGACCAGTTACGAATGGAGATGAATGGCAGATTTTTATTTTTGAATTGCGTTGTTTTGAGCAAGAATGGGAAGTTTGAGAGAAGACCTTGGAGGTATCTTATGGCACCATCAAGAAACATTAGCTTTAAACAATACAGAAGTGAGTATTTATAAATTTATAATAATGATAATAATAATAATGATAATGATAATAATAATGATAATAATAGTAATAATGATAATAATAATACAGTAATAACAACAATAAACTTAAAAAAAGTGTCAGTATACGTTAAGTGTAATAATACACTAGAGTGCTTTTAGTAAAAGCGTGAAACGCTAATTGCTAAATAGTACAATTTCGTACTATTTTGTTAAAAATTAGTTAAAGCGTGAAGAGCAAATGCGCACGTGCGTCGAATAAAAAGTTAACACAATACGACGCAAGTGAAATGGTTTTAAAGTTTTTATTCCTTCGCTCTGCTGCAAAATCAAGACACACATGACACATCTACAGCTAAAATAACCACAATACGCAAGTGAAATGATTTGGCACTTTCACCTTACAATTACTCTGGCTGGCTTTAAACGTTAATGAATGTAACGATGACCTAGTCGTTTTAATTGGTTTTTGTGCACAAGCATTTCTAAAGCRCACTCGACTGCACTYGACTTGATTATTCGCACAATCGCGGTTCAGTGATTGCACGTGCACACTAAATTTACTAATTGCTAATTTGTACAAAATAGTACAATTTAGTACTAGTAAAGTTTCACGCTTTTACTAAATGCACTCTAATTGGTGACACAACATAAAGAAATRAAGAAATCCTTTTGCTATTTCACTTTTTATTAATAATAATAATAATCTTATAATAATAACCATTCTTAGAAACTGAATTACGATAGGGTGAAACAGAGAACAATTAATGATATATATATATATGCAAAACACAAACACATGGAAATAAAGATGAAAAAGTTCTTATATACATGAATAAATCTAAAATAAGAAAGAAAAAAAAAGAGCATGCTCTACGTAGGCTGCAACYGATGGTCCGACGCTGTGGTACTAAACTGTGGATCTTGTGGCTGAGGCTTGTCATGTTATAGAAGAGACGAGCACAAAGAACATTACATTTTTACAGCTTATTTTCTTAGCTTTTTCAATCATTATGATTTTTTTTACAACTTCTTCAGTTTTTTTCTACAATCTCATGATTTAGTTACTCTCAGATCATCCAATTCAGATCTCCAACAGAAGACATTTTTAAAAATAGGGGTTCCTTCTGTGGGTACCGGAGCACAGAATGCRTCATAGGTTTCTGAACACACGAGTGGGRCTTAGAAATTTTGGTTCTCTTCACTTAGAAAAAAAATTAAGTGAAGACACCAAGAATCTAACTCGGTATCTTCGGCACCAAAGAACTACTACAATGCCAACCCCAACCCTAACCCTAAACCTAACCATTAGACCACGAAGCRAATTCAGTTGGGTGGTCTCATTTTYTAGTCATATTTAAACGATGTATCATYAGCRYGTGYACATAAATATTTATTATAGATTAATCTATGCTATCGTAGGGTACGACTACTAGCCGATTACTTGAAATTTGAATTTGAATAGAATTCCCCTGACAATTCTCGTACCTACAGAAAGACCCAAAATAGGTGTATTTCATAATAGTTAAAATTAACTATGATCTCATGTATATTTTCTACCAATAATATCCTACTAAAGGTTTTCATTCTCATTTGTTTCTACCTAAAACAGGTATAGAGAAAGAAGATAACTTACRAGAGAGCTGTAAAGTTAGCAGTCAGTCCCTAGTCCTGGATAAACCCCTCCATATCTTTGAAGTCAATTTTGAACTGTTACATACAGGCGTAGCTTGTCTTCCAGGTAAGAYACTTAGCCAATAGTCCTCGAGCCCAAATGGACTATGCATGAGTCAATAGCCCATGGAGCCGGAGGTTGAATGGGCTATTGAGTCTCGGCCAAATATATAGATGAACAAAGTTTTAAATTAAAGTAAATTTAATGCATAGGTTTTCAAAGCCGGCATTAAGTAGGCTATAACTTATAGCCTAGTAGTAGCTCATCTAATCAGAACGCAGCATCTATGATAGAACACTAGTTGGATTTGACTAAATGCAGTTAAAACACTCATTAATAATTCATAAGCTTATGGTCCAATTGGAGCCACCATACACGTCACGTGCATGAACCTTAATACCCGATAAAGTCCTCTTCATTAGTATTCAAGTGATTTTATATAAAGACACCTGTGATCTTTATATAAAGACCACTCGAATACTATGAGGATG